TTTTTTAAAATTATTTAAAATTATCTTCATAATAATTTATGTAAGATTGAGTTATGAACTCTATTTTTGGACGGATCAAGTTGATAGATCAAAAAAAGTTTCAGGGATAGATCAATTTTATTAACTAACTCTACAACTCATCTTTAATCACCTCCAATATTATAATTTCATTAAATGTTGATAAATAGATATTTAACTACAAATTTAATTTTTAAACTTTAAGTTCATACCGAGCAGGTGGACAAACGTAAAACATGTCTTTTAGTACACTATCATCTACCTATTAAATCAATAACGGCCATCTTTTCTCACACCACAATATAATTTTAGAATTCAAAATTTTAATTAAGAGAAATAGGAAAAGATTTTAAAAATGGGAAATTAAAATTTTCTTTTAAAATTTTCTTCTAGAACAAAATAACCCATTTTTTAAATAAAAATAATAATTAGGTGAAGGGAATCTTAGGGCAAGATAAGGATGAATGCAAAAGAAATAGAGAAAAATAAATAAATAATAAAATAAAATAAAATAGTGGGAGCCACAAAGGTTAAGGGATGTGCCTTAGTTAGCCTACAAAGCGTGCTCCTTTTTTAATCCAATCCACTCCCCTTTCCTTTTTTCTTTTTTTTTCTTTTTGGAAATAATATTTTATTTATTTCCTTATTATTATTATTATTATTATTATTTATTTCTTTTTTCTTTTTGCCCACCACTTTTGTCTCTCTTTTTCTAAGATTTTCACATTCAATCTCTAACCCTTTCTCTCACCTATGTCTCTTATTCGAAAAGAATTCGTGTCGATCATAACGTGCAGAAATAATTTGTGTTGATCAATACAAATAGTTATATATTATAAAAGAGATAGAAGAATGTCGAGACCATCTTCATTTAAGATTTTAAATTTTGATTTAAATTTTAGGCTTAAATTATTACCTTCTACATTTTTTTTTTAAAATTTGATCTTTAATCTTTTAAATTATCAATATTATCTTTACGTTTCAAAATTTATTTACGCCCTCTTTAATACATCAATCTATTTATCAGTAATTTTTAATAATTTTTTTTTATTCTTGCTCGTGTTTCAAAAAGATTAAAAATCGTTAATGTATTTAGTCTTTTCAAAATGTAAGATTTATACCGTGCTCGTGTTTCATAAAAAAGATGTGATTAAATAATTTTTATGAAATTGATTGGTATGTCCTAAAATGGTCATTTCACCTGCATTTAGTTATTTAGTTTTTTTTTTTTTTTTTTTTTTTTTTTTTTTTGGTGAAATAGTGTGGAAGCTAGCGATGATTAAATGTGGCATAATTAAGGATAGGACTAGAGGTGGAAAATATTCATTAAAGAAAAAAAAAACAAGAGAAATTCAATTTTTTAATAAATTTATTTTTATCCAACCCCGTTTCAACAAGTGGCACCTCCAAATTAGTCCCCAAACTGCCCCGCGCCATTTATTGCCACCTAGATAAAATTAATTCACTTATTTATATTATTATTTTTAGTTGTTTAAAATTATAATATAATATTATAGAAAATGGCAGATATAATTAGAGATTAAAAATGTCAATTATAAATCCTTTTTATAAAGTATAATCAATCCAATTTAATGTTAACTAATTAATTATGGTTATGAATACTATGGTTTGCTTTAATTAATTAAAAATGGGTATTTTCTCAATTTAATTAATTAATTAATAAAGTATATTTAAATGTTGCATTGCATCGTCATTTTTGTTAACTATTTTTAATAACAACGACTTAATAAAAATAAAATATTTATGTGAATACAAAGGGACAAGGCTAAATTGTATTTCATATATATATATATATATATTGTATGTATAGGTCATTGGACAATGGTTGGAAGACGACGGTATATCAGAATCAATTAAGTTGTTTCCAAAACATTATATTGAATGTACCTACCGATTTTAATTCTAATTTATATGATTCGACAATTCAATATACAGTGAATCTATCTATACCCGTCACCCATGTACATTTGTCGAGCCTTTATTAAGATTCTTTAAGGTCTCACTTTATTTTACTTTAATATATAAATGTTGTATGGTTAGAATATTCATTTCTCGAACCCACTTCCTTTTTTCTCGGAGAATCTCTTTATTAGAGTTTGGAGTTGGCACATGTAAGAGATCTTTGAATGAATTTCGAAATCACCAAGCTATCGTGAAAGTTATGTTGTTACATGTAAAAATCATGTTGTTAATCAGACTGTCCGACTTAAATATGTTCATATAGATTGAACTCTCGTGTTAGATAAAATATGTTCTCGTACATTCTCTATGACACGACGAATGTTATGTACTTGAATTATTTTCAAAAGAAAAAACTATCCCCACAAACGAATGTAGATAATATGATTTATTTTAACATGTTTTGTTCTCACTTACATGTTTCCTACTAAAAATTTTCGGTCATTTGTAACAGTCTAAGCCTACCACAGATATTGTCAGTTTTGACCGGTTAGAATATATAAATAGCTTATAATTAACCAATCGAGATTCTCTCTCTCAAACGGTCAATGGGGGAAATATGGCGCATGTGCATAGCTCACATGGACAGCCTATGTATAGCTAACCACCATGCATGTCATAGGGACATTAAATTATGATCTTTAATTAATTAGAGTTATTAATACATGCTTTTTATATAAATAAATAAAAATAATGTATTTATATCTTAGATATGTTATTTATTATCATCCGAATAATATCTTTTTAAATTTTAAGATTTTTTCACCCACACTAATATTATAGTATATTATATTATCACACACGTATATAGTTTTTTTTTTCTGAAATTCTTAATTAAATTTCAAAAGTAAAAGTAAGTTTAGATTTAAAATAAGGAAGAAGTAATATTTATAAACATAAATTAAAATAGTTATTAAAGCAATAAAATTACATAATATAATGAATACAATGTATGAACCATACCAAACAAATAAAAGGACAAAATGAAGCACATCCAAATATAAAAATTCATATATTATGTAATTTAATTCTTTTTAAAAATGGATTTGTTAGGTTCGGGATATTTTATGCTGCCTTTTTAGGAAAGGGATGCGAGAGGAAATTTTTTTTTTTTTTTTTTTTTTTTTTTT